GGAGACAGGGACCCTACCCAGAGGAGCAGTGATGCCAGAGATTGAGGCAGAAACAATGACATGGAGAGATGGAGTGGCGGGGACTTTAGACCCAGAGAGGGAGAGGGGCTGTGTGCTGACCACCAGGGGCAGGCTTGGTTGGTTGATGATGCATGAAGTGGATTGTAACCACGGTAATGAAACAATATACAACAGGACGAATGTAAAACTAATGTTCCCCCACGTAAACTATCACATAATTCACAATAAAACATTAAAAAAAAAAAAAAAAGAGTACATTGCTCTAGGTTCAAAGATATTCACTGTAATGTTAACTTAAAATGGAAAATAAGCAAAAAGAAACTATTTATCAATGAGACAATTATCGCATAGGACTGTGAACTACAAAGTCAGCAGTTCAAAAACCACTTCAGAAACCCTATATATACAGTTTTGCTATGCATCAGAAACTAACTACTTGATAGCACACAATAACAACAACAATGGTACTTGAAAACTATTTTATTGGTAGCTACTACAAACATATTTCAAATATATAATTTGATGTGCAAACATGCTCATTACAGATTTTTTTTAAAAGTGTTGCAAGCAATTGTTAAGGAACATTTCATTTTTTAAAAGAGAAATACACATGCTAATAATAAAACAGTCTAGAAAAATATACAGTAAGAATTATCAGCTTCTAAGTGACGATGTAGGAGTCCTGGTGTAGTGCTGTGGGTTAACGTGCAGGACTGCAAGGTTGGTTTGAACTATAAAGTCGGTGGTTCAAACTCACCAGCTACTCCTCGGAAACCCTATACAGGGTCGCTATGTGTTGGAACTGACTCATGGGTCAGCCCTTAACAACAACAACAACAAGACAACAAGTGATGAAGTAACATGATTTTTTTTTCTTCTGAATTTCCTAATTGTTTGATAATATCATTATATATATGTATATATATATATTTGGAGTCCTGGTGTGGTGCTGTGGGCTAATGCGCCAGACTGCAAAGCCGTTTGAATTGCAAGGTCGGTGGTTCAAGCTCACCAGCTGCGCCTTAGAAACCTTATACAGGGTCGCTAAAGGTCGGAATTGACTTGATGGCACTTA